CTGTTGTTCCCTGGCCGCGCTAGCCTACCCTGTCCCCCTCTTGTCCTTCTCTTGTCCTCCTGTTGTCCTTTGGCTGCCTCTTGTCGCGCTGTCGTTCTTTGCCCTCCTTTCTTTCTCTTGTCCTCCGGTGCCATGATGCCGTGAGGGTGTCACGTATGGTGCTGTCATGGTACCACATCAAATCTGAAATACCCATGACTTTTGAACATTTTGGAGCCACCCTAAATGACCTGTGAGCCACCTGTGAATGATCTGTGGGTGACAAATGAATATGTGGTATTGAAAGGTACCTACCCTGTCAGCTTTTGACAATTACTATAATTAGAAGAGTGATCAGAGAGTTCCCGCACAGGCGCACGCTGTGTCCTCCTCTTCTCCTTCTCTTGTGCTTCTCTTGTCCTTCTCTTGTTCTCCTGTTGTCCTCTGGCTGCGCTGGCCAACCTTGTTTCCTCCCCTTGTCCTCCTGTTGTCCTTTGTTGTCCTTCTCGTCCGACGCTTGTCCTAGACTAGAGCAGGTACATGGGACTGGCCAAGTCCCATATCCTGCAATATCACCCAGCTTCGTTGGTCAAGGTTGGTGATATCGCGCCTTGACCCCCTGCAGCTAGAAAGTGAGTAAAAAACGAGGAAGGAGTAAGAGTAGAGACCCTGGAAACGGGTGTTGACACACACACACACATACACATACACTTAGTCACAGGGTTTGCAGTTAGTCATAATCCTGAGGGAAACGAAAGGTGAAGCGGTCAGCGCAACTGAATTGTTGAACAATCTGTTCACTTGTCTGCAGAACGCGGCGGTGAGCAGCTGTAAAGCCGAGGAAACCTGTTTTGGGGAATAGCATGAGAAACGACCATGGAAGCAAACCAAGAAAGGGACAGCGTGGGCAACAGTTTTTTGGGCAGGTACGTCGAAAGAGCGTCCTCTTTCGATATCCTAGTCCGAACCTGGAGCTTCGTTGGCTCACGCCAGGAACAGACTCGTGAGCCCCCTGCAACGTGAAAAGTGCTACGTCAAACTCCTGGAAACGGAGGGGGGCACACACACACACACACCCAAATCCAAGTTGATCTTTCCAGAGGTGATTCGTTCCATTTTGCCAGAGGCGAGTCAACAACCAATATGGTTTATTCCATCTCTTATCTTGGCTTCACTTCCTTAACAAAAAACTGCCACCTGATGAGCAGCTTCACTTCATCTCACGACTCTGCCGAAACTTTCTGAGGTTTGCTAAAGCCATGAAGGTCATGGAGGAGCGTGCTCGGGTGCCATTGTTCCTCACCTACCGTGCTGTTGGCAGCGGCACAGGGCAGAAGGAGTTTGTGGGAAACGCAGCCAACATGCACCGTGGATGGAAGGGAAGAGGCGTCGATGTGCAAGGACTGGCGACTTCCAACAACAGGATATTCGGGTGGCCTCCATTTTTTTGTCAAATGTGGATAACAAATTCAATATCTTCTCAGAGTCAAGGCTGTCCGTTGGGAGCGAGTAGGCCATGTGGAAGAGCGAAGAGGCTCATGTTTTTGGTCCAAGAGAACCGTGCGCAAACTGGAGAAATGGTCCACGCACCCTCAATAAATATGTGTCGGATGTGGCTACATGGGCCATTCCGCCGTAAGGTACAAGAGCTACAGCCACTTTGGCGCGGGCGACATCCCCATGTCCTCCACCCACTATACCACCTTGATGGGCCAGTCGCCACCTGAGAGCATGGCGACATGGCCTGAGAACACTGCTGCGCGGAGCACGGCGCGCATCACGAATTCAGCAGAGTCATTTGCTGGAAGGGAGGGTTTCTTTGGGCCACCAAGGGGTTGATAGATGTTTCATCAGGCAGTTTGCTGTGCCACCCCGAAGGGAAAAATGGATCCACTCCGAGGGCCGCAGTTGATTCAGTCCACGTCTTGCAAAATACCAATGACAAGGCCCTCGACGCAACTTCCCTTCGTGTCTTCGTGTTCAAACTGCTTCGATGAGTTTGTGTGGATTCCGCAGGGGCAAGAAAGACACTCCATTTTTTTTGCCAGAGAACTTGGGTGTGGAGGAGGAGCATTGTATCTGTATGATATTGTATGATAGTGAAACTGTAAGAAACCATTGGCCACTGTCCCTTTCTTTTGCTTTTGACGAAACCTCGGGTGCAATTTAACTTTGGTGCACCTCAAGGTCCTTGAAATATCTCTGGTTCCGAGAGACTTAAAATGTATAGAAAGATATAGAAAGACTGTGTCAAATATTGACAGCATGGCTCTTTCTTGTTGTCAGAAGCAAGCCCAAAAAGACCTGCAAAAAGCGTGCGGAACCAGGTGCACCTTCCTCTGGCCTTGGGCGCCATTGCTGTCTTCCACTCTGTGCCATCTGGTGAGGCGTGGCCGGGCGGACCAGCGGACAAGTGACGAGGTTCTCTCAAGGCTTGTGGAATTTCCAGCCATCACTTCGTGGAGTTGGGTAACATACACTGCTTGATATAATCATTGTGGAAGTGAATGCGCCCCGCAAGGATGACCATGAAATCCGCGTACCAAACAGATGGTGCCATCCATGCTACCCCATGTGTACATGACTCGGAGTGGAGTTTGGTCAGGGTGAGCAGCCCTTCGCACGAAACTCCACCAAGAAGAGTCTGTGGGCACCTCAATACCTGACACCCACGGTTCGCCAATGCAGGTAGGAGGTGCATTGGCGCTGGATGCCTGCTTGTTGGCCAAGATCTTTGATGGTCAGATCACCACCTGGGATGATGCTGAAATCAAAGCGCCACTGGGCGATGACGTGGGCCGATGCTCGGGGCGGTTGGACCCAGTTTTGGCTTTGCGAACCTGTTCAATCCAACTCGTGCGAACAGCGAACGGGGAGAAACGGGCTTGTTCTGAACAGCGAATAGGTTTCCGGAGTGAAGGCGGAGGAGTGGCCACCAAACATGTTGCACCAGCTTTATGGACATGACATTCCGAGCGCGCGGTTGCATCCAAGGCAGAACCCCAACATGCAGGTGCCTGCGGGACAAAAGATCACTGCCCAGACCTTAGACTGCTCAAGACTGTCCACAGACGTCCGGGCTGGGTGGATCAAGTTGCCATTCCCGCACTTTTATGCACACGGAGAGCACCAATGGCAACTCGCAACCAACAGTGTGCTTTTGTGCTTGTGCTCGACTGGGAACAAGGACGTGTGCCTGTCACCCGCCAGGGAATGACTGCTTTTTCTATTTTTCTATTTGTTTATTTCCTTCCTTCCTTTTCCTTCCTTTTCCTTCCTTTTCCTTCCTTTTCCTTCCTTTTCCTTCCTTTTCATGCCTTTTCCTTCTGTTTCCTTCTGTTTCCTTCTGTTTCCTTCTGTCTCCTTCTGTCTCTCTCTCTCTCTCTTCGACATGGTGAAAAATAGACACATGCCCCAAAGCTACAAACAGATGAGCATGCACCAATTCCATCCCATGTTCTCCATTCCATGTAGATCACCTCTGAACTCTGAATCCAGCCGCTCTGCCGCCCCATCCGACCGAGGTCTATCGCCGTAACCTGGGCTCCAGCAGCACGGGCGGCTTGACGGGCTACCTGAACAAGAAGCGGGACACTCAGGTAGTCGTGGGCTACTTTGGCGAGCCCATGCGCGAGTGCGCGTGCGCGTCCGCGTGTGTGGGCGTGCGACAAGGACAGAAACTTCTCCGGGTGGGTTGGGGGAGGCTACTTCCCCAAGCCGAACCACCGAGATGCCTAGCGCTAGAACGGGAATTGGGGGAAGCTACTAGATCGATTATATAGGCCAAACGATTGTCTAAAACTGCAGTTCTATCGTGTGATTCTTGTTTTGGGTTGATGAATCATGTGACACTTGCTCACAGATCTCGAACGAGCTGTTTGGAACTGTCGGGCTGTAGAATTTGCATGCCCGTGTTATTTTTTTTCTGTGCTGGTCCGGATGGCAAAGTCACACAGAGCGGGATTGGGGTAGGCGATTGGAGGCCATCGCTAGTAGGTTGGGATAGTCCTTGTCTTCGCCATTGCCCACGAATTGATCTTGGGCCTTGAGGCCTGAGGAGTCTGATCAAGTCTTGTTACTAGTAGCTTCTTGTTACGTTCGTAGCGATGGCCCCCAAGCTACTTGCGATGGCCTCCACCGAGCACAGCGTCCTTCTTGGGGGCCAAAGGGACCGCTTCTTCTCAGGGCGCCTGCTTTTAGGGCACTTCAAGCCTAGGCCCGTAGTTAAGTTTCCCTAAACATCTATAGGAACCAAATCAGCATTGTGAGCACTGTCCTGCGTCCTAGCCAGGAGCTTCCTGTTGCTAGTAGCTTACTCCCTTACTTAAGTACGTAGGCGTCTACTTAATTAAGATTGATCAAGTAGGGGTGGGCAAAAAAACACACATAATTCCAGGCAGAGAAAGGTCTAAAGAAGAAAGGCAACAAAAAGGGAATCAAAAGACCCGTCACTCTCCAAGGTGCGCCACCCATTGGACCCGCGGCGCCGGATCCTCGATCACCTGGCCCGACAGCACATCCTTCGTGGCCGTCGAGGGATCCCCTGGGATGCAGAGCGCCCTGAAGGAGCGGCTTAAGGGTGAGCATCGTGCGGTGTTTTTTGGGGTTTCCTCGTAGGAACTTATGTTGTGTTCTTTGATTTATGAAGGAAAAACGAATGGCAGGAGGGTGAAGCAATGTGAAGCATGGTGCCTCCGGACTTCGTTGGTGGAACTTGGGGAAGACAGCTCCAAAGACAGCTCCAATGCCTTGTCTCCCAGACGTAGCTTCTTCTCCCAAGCGCCTGGTGGCCACAGATCAGAGGTTCTGGAATGGGCGTTGAGACTCTCTTTCGTGTGCCCTGCTTGCTAGAATATCCGATTTGGATGAGTCGAGATTTGGACAAGTCCTGAATTTGAGTGGTCAAAGGATGTATACCAGGACCTTCAGTGACCTCTTCAGGATTGGTAAGTGACCTTTTCAAGGCCTAAGTGACCTCATTCGGGGATCTCAAAAGGTCACTGGGAAGGTCCTGGTATAAAAGGTATATATCACATCTCTAAAAGATATCGCTTCGAGCTCGTGTAGCCCGTGTCCTCTCCTCTCTTTTGTCCCTCTCTCTCGTTCTCATCGGTTCTCATCGTTTGGTCGAGGGCTTTGTCATCGATCCTGGCCGGACTGTCCGATTCGGATGGTCGCGACTGTAGAGGACAACAGCTATGGCATTGGCTACTTGGATGCTGGCCACGGCCACGACTTCGGCCTCTCTGAGGCCGAGACGACTTTGGGGCTTTGGGTTCTGGGACGGTCCCGTGGGCCGGCGAAACACAGGGACCAAGTAAAACGAGACGAAGGAGAGATCCGAATGAGGAATGATACACCTGACAGTTAAGGAAGAGTATGCTTGGATGAGAATGCGCTGCATAAGGCATAAAGTACAATAAACAACTTCAAGCTTGTGGGTGCCAATCTGAGATAGGAATCGGAAGGTCATCTTTTGGCTCAGAGGGTCTAGCCAACTAAGTGAGTTAAAAGCGTGCAACAAGGGTGTCCACATTAAAGCAATGGAGAAGTCCGATGAACGCAGCGAGCATCTCCAAAGTTTCGAAGCAGTTGCACAAAAGTGACTGACAGCTTTGTAGCCCTAGGTCCTTGCACAGGTCCGAAAGCATCTCACGTTCTTTCGCCCAAACACCCCTCTCCACTGATCCCAACACCCCTCTCCACTGATCCCAACCCCACCGAAAAAGACGGCTCAGACCGGCGAACCAAAGCACCTCCTTCGAACGATCGAATGTCCGGCGGAGGCGAACACCAAGTCAGTGGATCAGAGAGTTTCCCCACGAAGACCATTTCGACACCGGTGGACCCTTGGGCCAACACCGACTTCGGTGGCTTCCCTTTGGGCGAACACCACAGCCCTTCCATCCTTCTCTTCTCCGATCCGATCCGCACCGGTCCCGGGGGGACGGCAGGTGGCGCTCAAGAACGCGGACGGCACCATCCAGACCTCCAAGGAGTCCATCGCCGCGGGTGGCGTGGCCGCCGCCGGCACCGCCGCGGCCAGTGCGGGCAACGTCTTTCCGGCGGACCCCTCGGGCGACTGGTCCAGCGGCTCGGAGGAAAGCTGGGCCGCTTTGGGTGGTGACTGGAGCTCATCAGTTTTATCAAACCTATGAAACTTATAATCTTCAAGCATCAATTCATGCGTGGAAAACAAGATGTAAGCACCCTGAGAAATTTGCTCCATATTTTCAAGCAATTCCCGAGATCTTGGAGAGTGAATTTTCTGACCGGCTGGGTGGTGGTTTCAGATACGTATGTTTGTTTTCAACCTTTACCTGGGATGATGTGTTTTCCCACTGGGGCGACGCCGCTTGAAGCATGAAGCCTCGCACGGTTGTGCGGTACTCGTGGTCACTGAGGCGTGAACCTCTATGACATGACGGGCCCAAACACCTGGCCTATTGTCCTGGTGAGCTACCTCTACGTCACCTGGTATGGAATTCTTTGGCTACACCAGGCTTTGTCCTTCTCATATAGCGCACCGAGAAAGGGGGAGCAGCACTAGGATCAACAAGATGTAAGGGGGAGGGAGCTTTTTGGTTACGATCGTTGATGGCGCACATTCTCAGCCCAAAGACGAGATCATTCGGGACCATTCCCATACTGAGCAGCCCACGGCAGCCCTGGGCCGGTCTTCCGGTGGATCCACGGCACGCCGATGCGGCGAGAGGCGGCTCGTTTCAGAGCACAGCTCGGGGGTTGCCATGCGTTGGCACCCTAGAATACATACCTGGGAAGGGCCCTGTGCAAAGCGCAACGTGAAAAGGTCCGCAAGGATATGGTTTAAGTCACCAAAACTCGAAAGCAGGGGCGCAATTGGACGTCTCCAACTGTATCACAGGTCATCAGTCCGGTCTCATCAGCACCTCCGGCCCCCCCTGCTGAGTTAGTAGTTGAATTATCGAGCGTGTAAACAATGTAAGCCCTTAGCTAACAAGCCTTTAGGAAGAGAGACAACCATAGACAACCAAGGACAAGAGAAGAGGACAGAAAGGAAAGAAAAAAGAAAACTCTCTCCCCCCCGCTCCCTCCCTCCCTCCCTCCCTCCCTCTCTCTCTCTCTCATTTTTTTATCTGTCTTCCGAGCATGAGTGCCGAACGAATGGCATGCGTGAGAGATGACTTCACGCTAGAGCCCAGTGAGGTTTCCAGTAGTCCTGCAGCTAGATTTCAGCACTTTGAAGATGAAGCCAAAAATTCAGACAGTTTCAAGCAGAACAACAAAGTTCATGCAGCTCACTCCGGTAGTTGGAGTGTGATTTCTGCGCCCAAAGCTGGGTTCACCCAGCGGATCACTGTGGGACGTTGCCGCGAATACACACTGCAGCAAAAAACGTACAGTTCATTGTTGTCAGGCGTTAGCACTTTACAATACTGCTGCATTAGACGACCTGTCAAAAAATACCTGGAAATGGCCCGCAGCAATATGGTTTAAATCACACAAATTGAAAACAGGTACGCGGTACTCACTTGGATGTCTCCAACTGTATCACAGGTCACTGATGAGTGTCTGTGTTAGCACCCTCTCATCAGCACCTCCGGTGCGCCCTGTTGAACTAGTATCAACCATATCGAGTGAATCGAATGTGAAAAAGTAAGCGCTTGGGTACAGGGAATGACACACACACACACACACACTCAGACACTCCATGAGACTACCGTGCTTTGGGAGGTCCCAAGGGACACAGCGAAACGGCCCAACCACGTGCGGCGTACGACGTCCGTGGGACTGGTCCCACCGGGGTGTCCCTCGGTGCAGACCGCGGTCCGATATTCAGGTGAAGAAGGACCAATCCCAGACCAACGTGAAGACTGCAGCTGCCTTGAAGGCGAGAAGGAAGCTGAGAGAAGTTCGGATCCGATGTTTTGTGTGACTTCTGATGTTTCGGCTGACTGTTGATTCGTAAAGTTCATACAGTTCCCCAGATGAAGAGGTTCTACAATCCAAATGGGGAGGTTTATCAATTGATCAAGATTATAATACAGTAGACCGACCACTCTAAGACATCATGTTCCACGAGGAACGGCGGAAACAGCAGCTTGGGGCAGTCAAACTTTGTGATCAATTGTGCGCCAGGCATTCTGGGATGCGAAAGACACCCAGGGCTGTTGGCTGGACCACCTGAAAAAGATACTTCATGACTAACAATTATGCATCCATGGAGAGTGACCCTGAAGACAGTACAACAATCAAGCCATTCATTCTCAGTTCATGCTCCGAGACAGTAACTCCAGCTGAAAGCTGGAACAAATGCAGATGCATTCAGTATGTCAGATGATTTCAATCTGGCCCTGTTCCAGTGCCCTTATGATCCAAACTTTGCTCCAACTTGCTCACCTGATCCTTCGTGGCTATATTCGGTGTTGCAAGTCTTCAGAAATACTGTTGAAGTCCTCAAGCCTGTCCTGATCGACTTGAATTCGAGGATGGCTGATACAGTATATAGTATACATACCTGGAGTCTCAAAGTAGCTGGAAAAAATCAGACTGGGCACAAGTACCTGCTTGTATCGGGCCATGCCGCTGCCCGATTTTGGAAGGTACTTTGGAGGGTCCGTGCAATGATTCTATATATGACGACTTCTGCTGGATTACATGGTCCCGTCGGGGTTTGAAGAGTGAGGAAGGCTTCCCACAGATCTGAAGGCCTTTTCCATGGCATGAAAACAACTTCAGCTCTCAGGCCTTCATTGACATGGTTGTGAGCGACACCGATGGGATGGCCGCCACTCGACTGATGGACTCGAACTTGGGGAATGCACACTTGCAGATGCTTGCATGATCAGACAGGAACTGATTTGGCTGGTGCTGCTGAGGATATCCCCCCGGTTCTCTCTCTCTCTCTCTTTCTCTCCCTCTCTCTCTCTCTCTTTCTTGTTGCTGCACAAGCGAAAGTGAGCCATCAACAATCAAGCTACAAACAAGCTATCCACCAACATGCTCGTGTTTTCTTCGCACAAGCTTGGACTGATTCCTGACAGAGACCGTTAGTGAGTAAGAATAGCACATTTCTGCGCCAACACCATCTATCTCTACATATATATATAGACCAGTTTGATCTCCACATATTTGTTTCACCCTGCAGTTCCAAAGGGTCTGTGGCCCATCGGGTTACTCTCTTGATGACCCCCCCCTTCTCCACTCGACTTGGCTGGGTTGCTTTAGGCGGAGTTCGGCTTCACCCCGCCCAGCACCAGCCTGCGAGCTTTGTCCCAGAGCGCCGCCTCGACCATTGTCTACCCGGTGGGCATGCAGAGCTTCACAGCTTGGACCTCAGCAACAGGTTGAGACCGAAGGGAGGCAGTCCCTCGAAGTGTTGATGTTTGATTAGGAACCCCCTGGCACATCTAGGTCCATGTTCTCCAAGCAACAGGTTAGTGGACGTCCTGGCAAGTGGGCAGACGGTGTTTTTCCTGTGCTTCTGTCTCATAGGCTGACTATTGGAGGAGCTCGTCAGGTGACCAGAGGCGGTGATGGACCCCCATGTTGCGCTTTGTTTGCCCCACAAGGGTGGCCAAGCAGGTTTTCAAGGGGCGTACGGGCGCGCCTGTAGCAGGCTTCATTGAACAAACATGCTTGCTTGATGGAAAGAAGGTTCTTGGAAGAACCCCTGCCGCTTTACGACTGGTCTGTTTGTCAGAATTATTGGATGTGAGAGAGCAATTCCTTTGCTTTGCTCACCCAAAGATCACGATCCTGAGTTTCACAAACCACTTCCGAGGAAAGGTCGGAGCAGGGTCAACATTGCCACAAACATCCACGGTCGTCTGATGGGGGAGATTTTCACCAACATTCGTTGTCACAGTCTCTGTCGAGTCTTCCACTTTTCACCGGGTTATTTTCCATGGCAACTGGGCAACTATGGACGGACGATCCCCTGCATGAAAGCATCTGAACAACCAATGGACATGTTTCTAGGATTTCTAGGGATAGAACCGGCCCAAGGATTCATTCCAAGTGGAATGGAGATGTCCACCGAGGTCAAGGGCAGTCCCACCAGAAGGGAGAATTCACCGGTCACTTCCAGCACCTCCGGCACATCCCATCATGGTCCACCCTTTGATGCCCCAAGTACCACACATTTGCCCTGCTGCTAGGGGACCTTGGGCCCGGCTCCCGGCTGCGCCTCCGGCGGACCTTTGGCCATCCCGTCGAAAAAAAAGCGGTCGAAACACATGAAGTTGGAGCCCTGAACACTCCAGGCCCTGAATGTTTTTTTTTTTGGATGGTTTTCGCACTTCACTCGCTTCGTTGCTTCGGTGCCGAACAGGTGGAGACCAGCACGGACCCCTATGGTGGTATGGCGACCAACGTGTCGCGCGGCGATTCACTCGACGTGTTCGGCGACAATGTGCGGTCTGCGGTATGCCTTCTTATGTATGTACTTGTATACACTAAAAACAGGGCACCATGAGATGGTGTTCCTACCTGAGAATTCTTGCAATGAGGTCATGCAAACTCCCAAGTTGGGTAATTAAATGAGACCTGGGATGCCAGCATCTCCAATCATTTGTAAACATTCATAACTGATAGAATATGATTATATGATAGAATCATCGAACTGGAGCTGCACATGGCTTTTGTGCAGGGAACTTTTCGTCCACAGCGCCCACAAGGGTGCAATTGCATGGAAGTGCGACGTTTCAGATGTGCATCCACTTGCAATCCTTTGAGAGTCTATGCTGTGCAACAGGTGTGTTCAGCCTACTTTGTGTAGGAAAAGCACAGAATTACTGTAATCAGATGTTAAGTCATGTAAGCATATGGTCATATGGTGATGGCGAGTCATCCCCTGAGGGCAACGGGGCAGTGACCACCGGGTCTGTGGCCCGGAACCCGTTCGGTCGGAATCGGAACCGGTGACCAGCGTGGTTTGCCTGGATCCATTGGGGCACCGGGGCACCGTAGCCTGCCTTTTGGTCGGGTCGTGGACCTTTTTTCCCGCCTTGGGATGACTGACTGTCTCAGGATCAGCAAGAAGCGTCACTCGTACGACATCTATGACAGCGAGGTGATGCAGGGTGCCATTGACAAGCTCCGAATGGAGATGATGGCGGAGGATGAGGAGGACAAAGAGGAGAGGTCTCCGGCCCGCTAGGCGGTCTGACGAGAAATTATCCACCTAGAGGATCAACCCAGATCAATCCCCAAAGCAGACTAGGTGTGCAGTTCCTCACAAGACTGATTGTCTATGTCGTTGTTTTTCACTTTTTCAGGCATGTGCAGCGACCGCTGCGAGGGGTAGAAAAGGGGTTGATGTGGGAGGCAGAATTCGAACACTCTTTTTCCGCCCCCACAGAGCCGCTGGGACTGTGTTGAAATGAATTGACATTCTTCCACACAGCATGTGCAGGTCCTTCCTTTCAAGCTGATTCCACCCTAATTATGTCGACTCACATGCTTCTTCTCAGCACGAAGAGACACATGATGGATCAAGATGAAGGTCAATTGACCGATCGTGTTGAAGGACAACTTGATAACTGTTAAAACTCGCTCAAACTTGCCGATCGCCATTGATCGCTACAAATTGATATTCTGCTCCACTTGGGGTCAAACACTTAGGTTCAAAAGAGATTCCATCCAATATAGTAACCCAGGTTTTAATACAGTAAAATTCGCGTCCCCTCAAGCTCCACTCAGAGGTTTGGACTCGCAGACGAGCGCACACTGCCTGCACCCACATGTTCCCAAACACTCTTGGCCGCAAGCCACTTCGCGACATGTCAAGAAACCGTCTTCCGTTTTGCCATTTTCCCCCGTTTGCCCTCCGGATCAAGCTGAGCGGCAGTGCCAAGATCGATCTCGAGCCTCAGGATCACGACCACGACCACGACCAGGACCACGATGAAGAAAGCTCCGAAAGCTACAACTACAACGACACGCTCCCAGTGGCCTTGTCCATCACTGCAGTGGTGCGCCTTGGCCGAGAGCAGATGTGAGCAGATGCGAGCAGATGTGAGCAGATAGCGCTATGCTTCAGGTTGTATCTCATGAATTGAACGAGGCAACATCATATAAGACCATAAGATATACTGTAAGTAAGAAAAGTGGTAAGGAAAGCAATCAGATTCTATTGCCATTTACGGTATTGCCCAATCATTTGCCAACCAAACCCACCAAGAAAAAAACACAGAGGACCGGGTGACTTACGTGACTTTCCAAGGCCCTGAGATCGCACAAAAGACGTACTCGGTCTGAAGATGTCTGAAGTGTTTGCTCAAACGAAGCAGCACCGGTTTCTGAAACCGCCTGGTGCTTCTCAGACTGCCAAAAAACTCTTGTTTCTTGACTCGCCTAGAAGACACACGCTTGACACCTAGCCAATAGCCAGGCTTTGACTGTTTTCAAGCTCAGGATCTCCATCCTCTCCACCTGCTTGGGCTGCGTTGCCTTCAGCAAAGCCCGCGCCCCGATGGCCGCTGCGAACCGTGCCTAAGCCACTTCGCTGCAGCTCCGCCTTCCCCAGGGCCTCGGGAGGCCGATTTTGGTGCCAACCCCAATGGTCTGGGTAGACCTCCGTCTGAAAGGTTAGACCTGACGGTGATGGTTTGAATCTCTATCAGACACCGTAGAAAAGAGACGCTTACGCGCATACAAGATCATACAAGCTACAAGCATGGCCTTTGCGACTCTATGTTTGGTGACCCAATCACGAAGGATAGGGGGATGGGTGGTAATGGGTGGAGAAGAGGGAATGGTAAGGCTCAAGGCTCCGAGAGTTCTTAGACGTTTGTCTTTGGGCGTTGAAGACGTGCTGAACGGCTCGAGATACTGGTTCTAATCTTATACATATAGTATCAGTATCATATAGTGGATATCTATATCATAGAACCATACATACATATATATATATACACGCATCAACGAGTCCTTTTGCGTATGTAGAGAAAGACAGATAGATGGACCGAAATGGCGTATTGTATGTAGTATGACAATGAATCCATAGTCAATGAAGTCTCCCTGGCCCAGAGTTCATAGATTCTCTTTGATATGGCACTGAAAAGCCTTGGTGGGCTCAGATCTTGTTGGTGCCACACACAGCCCAGGATGCTCAACGCCCATGATACACTCCCTGCAAATCAATCGATGGTGGAAGTGGAAGATTGGCCCGACCTGGATGACCATGAAATTCTCCACAAATCGATGGTATTCCACTTCCATGATTCCAGCGAGTGTAATGTAGTTATGTACTAACCCCCCCATATGAAAAGGACTTCCAATTCACATGGGGTGGTTTATTCATCAAGAGTCGACATGAGTGGGTTCGTCGGTTTGCACCACCCCTCTCAGCTGTTGCCACCTCAGGTCGAGATGATTGGAGCCAGTCGCACCCGGGGGGCACCAGGGAACGGGTTTTGAACCAGAACCATTTATTTAGTTGCTAACACTTGCACATTGATTTGCCCACTTGGGTCATGTATCAGATACTTCACTTCGCATGCACAGAAGTGCGCATGGAAGCACTAGTGATATTGCATAGCAGATGCATATGTAGATATGATATTTGTAATTTGTTTTGCTTAGGCCTGTCATTTCCTATGCATTGTAAAGCATGTTTGATAAGGCAATTTTGATATCCCTTTGATGAGCATGGCATGGGATTTACATTGTGGCAACAGTCCTCTTTCAGCAATGCGGGTTTTCGTATTTTTCTTTGACTGGCAAATTCTTTCTCATTTTCTTTGAGGGGACAGGTACTCGCAGGTGCTTTTTGGAATATCAGAGGTACTCGCAGGACTCGCAGGTGTCCATCAGTCAAAAATTGACATTGGCGTCCCAACCCAGTGACTGATATTTTTCCTTTTCCCCGTTGAAGGGGACATGAGGTGTTTCCCTCCTTGCGATGGACAGTTTAAAGCTTGTGCCGTGTCTTCCTACTCAGTGGAACGCTGATGGGAACACAGTGCAGCGCTAAGAATTCGTCTTTCATGAGAGGGGCGCCATTTTTGAGTTTTGGTCTAGTATAGCGCCGCTCACACATGGCAAACGCTATGATGTGTACGCAAAATATTTCCTTCGGATCTGGTAAAACATCGGCGATGTCAAGATGCAGAAGACAATGAGATTGTGTTTCGTTTGTGAAATACACTTGACTCTTGTTGTTCCTGGACATTTGGGCTGTGTTTGTGTGCGACTTTAGTAACTTAGTAAGCGAGTCGCAGTGTAAGCAGTCCAATCTGTATTTAAGTATTTCCCTGAGTTTGTTGGGTTTCACGCCTCAGGCATACATAGATATGGCATGATATGGCTATGAGCCGTGGCACCTCCCCCACCAAACCATGGTAGGTTGATCTCCCTGATAGAGTTTGGTCAACCACCCATATATAGGTGGAGGATGTCCACATGGGGCCTATGCCGCTGGTTTCCGATCAGACTCCACACGGTTTCGGGAGTCGTCCATGGACACTTGACGAGATGACAGCATCAAAACCGAACTGCGCGGAGGATTCCGATGAAAAACACCCAAGAATGACAATGTACAAATAATTGTTTCTTTACAATAGTCATAGTCACACATGGTATATATATATACATGTGTTTTTCCTATTCACATACAATTACAAAACAGTATGGTATATCGGTGAGGCACATGCCGATGTGCAGTAGGATCCCCACTGCTGCTTCTTAAGACACTGAAAGCTGGCACTTGAAAGTGCGCAAGCTACGTGCGAAAGACCAAAAAGGGGAGCTGGGCATTAGCTGTTTCAGCAGAGCTGAGAGAATGTCACTTGAGCTGAGAGGCTGGCAAAATGCCGCTGCTTTTGGAATCAACGTGGGATCCAAATAGGCACTCGAATGCACTCAAGTAAATAGCTGCAGGCAAAGAAGGCCCTGCTCAGAACTAGCTCCGAAGCATTCCAAGCACCGTTCAGAGATCCTGGCAAGACCCTCAATACCATCTCAAAGAGATGTGACCATGGTCTTTCACCCTTGGGAAAGCCAGCTACTTGGTTCTTTCTTTTGGGACCCACCCAATCCCCCCCTCATCCATCAGATATCCATCCATCAATCCATTCGATTCCAGTCAGAGATCTCAGGCAGTTCTCGTTCCTCCCTTGTTCTCGCTTCGGACGCAGGTCGCGACGGACTCAGCGGCGGACGAGGCGTGTTTTTGGGAGACACACGGGAGGGGGGGAGTTGGGGTGGATTCTTTTGATCGCCATGGCTTCAGTTTGGAAGATCGAAAGGGCTCAGTTCTTCCTGTTTCTGGACGCCAATGCATTACGATCCCGGTACCTTTTTTGTGTAGACCGAGACGGATCCGAAGCATGGGGTGCCTGGATCCGGTTGGACCGGGTGCGACCTCACCCCATTCCGGGCCGTTGAATGGACTGGTCGGGGGAACTGCCGACCGTTGGGTCTCGAAGTGCCGACCAGCACGGCAGCGACACCGAGCAACACGGAGGCGCGAAAGGCATAGCATGGTAGTACGTAGTGGGATGTTGGCCCAGAGTCGCTGACTTATTTGTTTGATCGAATTCCACATGCGACCCAGGTGAGAATTCCTTCAAGTTGTGCTGCTTTAGGATCTTACGTCCAGGACTGACGCCTATCATCCCAACACCAAACGAGATCGACTCAAAGCAACCACCCCTGAAACGAAACGCCCCGAGCTCACCCCCAGCGGGGCACGCCAGCAAGCGAACAGCCCGCTGAGCATCTGGTAGGTGGCCCGCCGGAGCAGCTGGTTCCACCCACCCCCACCGCTCCTGCCGGAAGATGTGCCCGTCATTGAGGCACACGAGAACGTGCGCGTGAACGCGCGAATCATGGTAGGTAGGCAGGTAGGTAGGGGTGTTTGGATGGCTCCTGAAGGCAGCGTGTTTCTGTGTTGTCGGTGTTTGGACTGTTCACAAATTCCCATGCTTCCTCGTTCCGTTTCTTTCCTCGGAAAGCCTTGAAGTCCTTGCTTGGCCTTGCTGGGGTGTTTGGTGCGTCGTGGAGAGCATCTCAGGTGATTGCCATGACACTGGATTTAATGCTATAGCGGCGGTTTCGGAAATTTATATGTTTAACATTTACTTGGGACGATTCAACCCACTGACTAATAACTTTCAAGTGCTTCGAAACCATCAACCAGAGTGGCCTTGGCTATAAGTTCTCCAGACCAGGGCATGTCAGACTGCTGAGAAAGGAAACCAACGTCGCTGACACTGGAGAAACAACATAGACGACTTTGCGGGGCTTTGGCATTTTGCTGATTGGAATTCTGCAGTATTTTCTTGAAAGAAGATGCTCTGCTCCAGATGCATACGCAGGATCGTTTCCTAGAGGTCTGCTGAACACCTGACAGGAAGACATGTTGTCCATCCACAGTCCTGCACATGAGGAGCTTTGAGCGCTTGCCCTTGTTTGGCTAATTCAGATGCTTTGTTACGATCTTCACCTGATTTCATACCTCCTCCTACTGACTGGTGTGTCTAAATCACTAAAGGGGACCCTAGATGAAATTAACACCTTGCAGGCCCATTGGCTCTCTAGTCACAATAGAGATTCCTTTCTCATTTGCTTTCACTGGCCGCCTTCGGCAAGACCTCACCCAACATGCATGGGGAAGCTGAGTCTGCTACTCACTCGCGTGAACCAAGTATATGGCTGCCAGGTGACAGGTGGTGACCAAAAAGGATAAGACCTGACAGACTGACAGAGGTCTTGGACTCTAGATATTCTTGGTCTCCTCTACCTCGGCTGCTGTAATTCCATGGCCTTCGCAGGTCCAGCAGCGTATCTCGCAACGGGTCATCAAGCGGTGCCCCTCTCGCCCACGTGCTCTCCTTGGATTCCGGGTTCGGGTGAATTAACCATGCTCACTTGACTTGCCCAAGCTTAGAGCCCTAAGATTAGAGACTGCACATGGTTAGCCAGAGTCATGTCCAGAAGCCGATATCGACGAAAGAGCACAACCACACTTTCGGAGGCAGACGCATTGACTGAACTCAAGCCATTAGGCACAGCCATTAGGCACAGCCATCACTTAGACTTAGCCCACCTTTGGTAAGCTTCCACTCAGCCAAAGTCGGATACAGGCCGCGGGATGTCAATCCTGCAATACTAACTCTGGCCTCCAAGAGGCATCAACAAAAACTACTCCTCGTTGCGGATTGCTAGACATCGCGGATCTGTGTGCCGTGCCAAGGGACTGCACAGCCCGCTATGCTGGTGATGTCACAGGCACTTGCTGGCAGTCAAAAGCTGGGAGTTGGCGGGTACGCTGTTCCAATCTGTTCCATATTCCTTTGAAAGGGATCTAAGGAGCCATGAGCGGAGTTCCTTGTTAGAAGGATCAACATTTGCACGTGTTTGACTTGATTGGAGCACATGACAAACACAGGCTTCAACGCTACAGGTTTCATATGTTTGTTTATTGCGACAAAGTGTGTCCTCATTGGAAGCAGACCATTTTTTAACCCTCATTTAGGTTTGCCTCAAGGATCACTCCACACAAAAGCTCTGTATGTTGAGTCAGCGTCCATAATTAAGACAAGTGAACCGGTGGGGACCAGGAAGAGCTACTGTAGTCTTGGAACGAGTCTTTGATCGAGCTTTTTCTACAGGAACACCTACAGGAGCAGTGTTGATCCTTCCTAGCCAAATTTCAATCTACTCCTGGATGTCCTAGCCTATATAGAACCATCCTAGGTCAATAGATATCAATCCCCACAGGTTCTCGACTCAAGCCTTTACACTCCCTGGAATAACTATGGAAGTGGACAGTCCCCTGTTTGGTATTCGGAGCATGGTCATCCATACGGGGCCAGACCATCCACTTGCACCATGATCCTTCCAGGGAGTGCCTTTTCCATTGTTTTTCTGGGAGTTCATTGCCCATCACCCTCTTTTCACTATTCTTCACTGCCTGTCACCCAGAAGCTGATTTCGTTGTTTCGTCATTCACAGAGAGGTTTTGGGGAGAATCCACCGAGCACCGAGTCTTGTGACATCAACCAGGAGTTTCATCCGACTCCTTTCGCTGTCCTCAGGCGCCCCGGCCGCACACGGCCGAGTACGTCCAGGACCGGGCAGTGATATTTTTTCTCGCCAGGTGAGGGTTGTTGGATTTTATAAGAGCACTACGCCGCTGCAACTTCCTCCTCTCGTCCTCCTCTCCGCTGGACCTCAACAGCAAGTGCTAGATCGCCGAGGGCTCCGCCGTGGGCAACGCCGGACCTCAACTGTGGGCACCAGATCCCAGTGGGCACCATCGGATCTCAACCGCCAACAAGAATGCATGAATATTTGCCAAATAGAATGCCAGACTTCACGCCCGATAGAATGTCAGTATACACACCAAGAATTTTTGGCCAGAAAGAGGGTCAGAAAATATCAGAACACCGCCCAGAACATTTCCAGCCTTTATGTAAGTTCATGTGCCAGGCTGCCAGGGCTCGATGGCAGGATAGTCAGTCAATACATGTGCACTGCTTTCTTCAACATGCCTCTCAGGGCAGGGATCGCTCGAAGTAAAGTAATTCATATTTGTTCTATGCACTTCCTACGATCCTTGGCAGCCGTGCCTTTTGCAGGCGACCACTTCGCAAGGCGCAATCGCGCCGTGAGCCGATGCTGCTAGTTTGTTGTATTCTCCAGCCAGCGGGGGTTCCGGTGTTCCAACACTTCAGACTCACTGCGGGAACCTTCGCCCACCGGCCATGTGCGGATGGAATTGGGATTTGGACGCGATTCCTGGTGAGGTCCATGATGTTCAGGTGGTTCCAGATCTTTCCCCAAAGTCTCCGCATCAATCGTCGAGGAGGTCGGGCTTTGTGGGAGTCAAACTGAAGACGAGGCGTTCCCCTTCTGAAAAAACTTCAACTGAAGACCCCCAAATGGGCTTGCTATAAAACCCGCTTTATAGTCAAGCAACTGGAAATCATGTTCTGCCTTGCTTGTACTCTGCGCTATCATTTGGGGATAGATCAGACCCTACTGGGCGCCGAATTGATGTTCTCCTTGACCGCCGAGTAGTTCGTGGGAATCATCGGCAGCACACGAGCGCTGTTCCGTCTACAGGGACGACCAACCCCAAAGATATCTTTTTGGGGGTGTATGTGTGGG